GTAATAAACATAAAATAACAATAAAAGGTTATAGTTAAATTTCAATAATAGATTAACACTAGTCTGATCAACACTAGTCATATCAACACAAGTCTTAAAATAAAATCATTAAAAACTAGAAAAGTAAAAAAAATACGTTACACGCTTCTGAAGACTAAAACATTTGTGTTTGAGCAAAGAAATGCGCAGTGTCGCTCAAGGGACACACAAGGCTTTTGTTTTATCTTTGCAAATGTGTATTTGTTTTATACTTGTGTATTTATTTGCCTTATTTAGACTGTAAGCGATGACTTTACTTCACAATTTCAAGAACTATACATTATATTAACATATTAATTACCCTTTCTAGAGTTTGGATTGTAAACAAATCATCAAAGAACTCAAGAAAAGGTAAATGGTAAATTATTTTAATTTAATACTAAATCTATATATTACATATAGGCCTACTTAATGTTTTCTCTGTATCATCCCTTTTCAACCGTCATAGTTAACGGATTTTTACGATTGAGGTGTTATTGCAAAGCTAACACCACCTTAACCTTGTATCTAGCGAAGTAAAGAATGTTAACTGAAAAGGTAATTTCCTTTAGCGTTCCACCCCCTAGAGTTTGATTTTATTAATTGTCTTAATAGCTTCCTCATTAAGTCTACTTTAAGATAATAACAACTTTTATACCATTTAAATATACTAAAAGTTGTTAAAAATAGGTCTACGGGAAAACCTTTAATCACTATTAAAAATGGCGGCTTTTCCCAACATTGAACACATTTCGAAAAAAATATACCATGCATTTTTATGAACATCTTTCGAGAAATTGACTTGGTACTACTGCTGATATTTATTCGGGGGTCAGTACTTCATTTCGATAGGTAACGCGTTTTTGGTCGCCATCTTGGATCGCCATATTGGATATAAATAAAATATTTTAAATGTAATAATAGTGTTGTGACACATCATTATAAACTAGATTTTCACGCTGAGTTCAATTCTGAAATCCATTTAAAAAAATCCTTTTTCAATCAGAAAATATAATTAATCGAAAACTCTACCCTATACATTTCTAATGGACGTTTCGTACTTTGAACATTTTAAAGATTATCTTTCTTACATCTCCAGTTATTATTAACGCTTGCAGTTCGTTCTAGCCTTACGATGTTCAGAGATGTAAGGGCTTTCATTTGAGCTATTGATCATTAAAATCGGACGAGTTAGAGACGAGCTACGAACCCCAACACAATATTAAATTGAATTGTTTAGAAATAAGTTTTTATTAAACGATTTATATCTCGGGTTGTTCATACGCCACCAAGTTATTTCTGGTCTTAAATTATTCGGTAAATGTTTGGCTTTGATTTTATTAATCACTGAACAAAATCAGACAAATTTAAATTGTCTCATGGACCTTTATTTAAAATTAAATTATTTTTATTTTGAAAACTTGTCTTAAGGTCAAATACATCCAATCCTTAATAACTCCAAAAACTCTTTATAGTCTTAAATAATTCGTCAAAGTATTGACTGTTATTTTAGCTATGGATTACTTATTGGGAGTTATTATTAGAATTGGGAATTAACGTCTTTCTTTGGTGAGCAGCTGATCTTTCAGTTGAATCATAGACCTAGCACCCGTTGAACTGGTATTTTATGTAATTTAATTCAATTTAATTTAATGACACAAAGAACAAATGGTTGAAGGTTTAAAAATCAGTCAGATCAGTAAATCAGGGACAAAACAGTTAAGGAAATGGATTTTAATGGATAGGCGACTTTTTATAACTGTAACTTATGATTGAGGTACGTAAATCACTCTAAATGGTATGGATCTACATCTAGAACCAACAAATTTATTGTAAACTAGCTGTGTGCCCGTTCTACGCACGGGGATCTTACAGTAGTCAGTTGAAACCTTCTTATATTAAGAACAGCAGTTGGTTTGCATATTTGCAGATATGCTGGAAAAACTATTATATATAAACCTTCGCAAATACAATATCCAACAGTTCAAGGCAAAATAAATGCTTGTCAATTAAATGTCACCCAGATCGTGTTGGTACATATGTTAAATCCAATAATTAAACAAAAATATTCTTTATAGATCCATGAGGCATAGCCCTAAGGTAGGCCTATAATTGAAAGTTACTTTCCACAATGGTTAAACGTATTTAAAGTAATACCTCGACCTCACAATTTAACACTTTATTCCGGTTGACATTTACATTATCAAAGGCGATCTTGTCCATTCCGTGAAACACTGAGAAATAAGGACATGAATGCGTTACCAACAGAAATTCACACAAAAATACAGAACTTAATTAGGGAATTTGCTACGCTTTAAGCATAACAAAGTATGCTACATATAATATTAGTATTTGAAATCTTTGTTAATGTTATCAAACTTTATCATAACAATTTATATTTGCTTAGACCGAAGATGAGCCGAAATGGTGTTGAAATGACGGCTTACTATATGAAATGAAGTACATATAGACGATTTATATTGGTAATTAAGAATAAAAATTACCAAAATAGGCCACGAACTATTGATACATAAACAACGTAAAGGCGTAAACAATTCATGATGGTTTGCTCAACAAATGTTTTACTCAAATGGGTTATAATTTTCTTAGCATACCGGGTAAGCTTTGGAATCCAGATAGAAAAAGCAAAACTTATAAAGTTAAGACATCAATTAAATTGAATACGGCTCTAAAAAAAAGGTGCAACACCAACTAAAACTAATTTGTAAATTACAGTGATGAGTTGGTCCCATCGTAAATGTGCAATTTGTGCACGGGTCCCATCGTAAATGTGTAATTTGTGCACGGGTCCCATCGTAAATGTGTAATTTGTGCACGGGTCCCATCGTAAATGTGTAATTTGTGCACGGGTCCCATCGTAAATGTGCAATGTATGCACGGGTCCCATTGTTAATATGCAATTTGTGCACGGGTCCCATTGTTAATATGCAATTTGTGCACGGGCCCCATCGTAAATGACCAATTTGTGCACGGATCTCCTCGTAAATGTGCAATTTGTGCACGGGTCCCATTGTTAATATGCAATTTGTGCACGGGCCCCATCGTAAATGTCCAATTTGTGCACGGATCCCCTCGTAAATGTGCAATTTGTTTACGGGTCCCCTCGTAAATATTTATCTTCTAAAATAAACATATTGAGTTGATAATAGAAATGTCATGTAGTTGTGTAAGAGAATTTTAAAGGAACACCAAAGTCGCAGCTCAAGTAAGGCATTGAAGTTTAACTTGAAAAGCTCGTTCATTATTCACAACCTTTTAAAGGTTTTTGTGAACATACAAGACTTATTGTTCACAAACTTTGAATAGTGAATTTTGGTGATTGGTCCTAAGTGTATTGTTGGAAATTGTTGGGGAGATTGTTGCTGTAATAATGGCCAAATGAAGTTTGATTTTAATTGATATAAAACTATATAAAACACAATTAATTGTTATTAAGAAGGAAAAAAGGTATTTGATTTACAAAAACTTAACAAAGTTCAAATCATAATATGTTTTCAGAATTTGTTTCAAGCCATGTTTACAATAAAAAGTTTACAAAGGTTGTCGGCCATTATTGTCAACAAACGTTTTAAATATATTTTGTGGAAAATCAATTTGTATTATCGCGTTCAAAGTAGGCCTATTGAAGGGTATTCTTTTTTTACTAATAATCAAATGTTATCTTTTGCAAAGAATTTACTGTCTAATTGCTGTATTATTGCACTTAATTTAATACATTTTTTATACCGCGTGTAAAATAGATAATATAGTGTTGAATGTAATACTACAACTTTATTCGGCAGTCGGCACAATATTAAACCAACATGTGCTTTTTAAATATCTGCTAGAAAATACAATATCATAAATTGTATTTTTATAGAGGGACGATATTGGAATAAATAAAATAAACTTCAAGACGTTCTTCAAACCAGTCATCTTTTGCGATTCAACGGAGATTGGTGAGATATCCAATCATCAATGATTGGCCAACCGAGCTCACACAAAGACTTATGTCCAGCTTCTAATAAACTGAGGAACAAAGCTGGATATACTGGACTCATATTATAAGTGACGTGACATAAAGTTAAATAAATGAATTGGTTTTTACTAATTGGTATTTAATTTTGACCAGAAGTGCACTCATATGCTGAAAACATATACGACCTTTTACACCTCAGAGGCACAGAATTTGTTTTATTTTACATTTCCATACACACCTGATAGGTTGGAAGTACATTTTTGTTTGTAAAGTACAAACAGTGAATAAAAATACATTCCATAGCACTCTTCAAACATATATCCACAACTATATCGTTAACTCCCAAGATGGTAAGTGGTGATCGATTTCGATTGGACACTCAAATCATCATTAGACCTAATAGACGATTGACAAGAAACTCGATGGCGTCCCTACTTATATCCTATACAAATACCAGACAACCAATTTATTTTTTTATGGTGTTTATGTGTTCTAGACATATTTTCATTTATGTTCTGTAAACATATAAAACACGTACAAAGATGAACAAGACATTTTTTTATGTGGCATACGTCCTAACTAGTACCTTAGGTACTAATAGTCAATTCTAGTACCTAAAAATGTGTTGTGCATTAATATTATCAAAAATATTTTCTGTCTCAAAAACCATTTAACTAAATACAACGAACCACGACGATAAAGTTTAAACATTAACCTTCTCCTGATGATGTGGCGAAGGGGAAGGAGCATTGCAGGTGTAGTTGATACATTATGTAAATATTGCAGCATATTAGGAGGATATAAGCTCCTTAGAGGCTGTGTGCTGTGTGCACTGCTTCTCTCTATCACACACAATCTACTTTTGTTCTTTAAACTTTATGTTTGTTGGTTTCACAAAACAAACAAACTATCTCGACTCAGAGACTTTGGTGTGTTAAAATGTTTGTCTTTATAATATATACATATTTAATTGTGTTTTTAGATCAGTTTTTAATCAAGCTACCTGTATGAAACAGCAAGCCCGTGGGGTGTCTGGTCTTGAACATGAGAGATATAGAGTCCTGAGCACTGACGATGGGTTCTCCTCCCGTCCTACTCAGGTCGTACCACAGGAACTCCAATCCTCGGAATGTGGCTTCCGATGGTGCTTTGTCTGAAACAAAAATAACACAAAGGTAAAAATACAAGATTTAGACTGTACGATAAACTCTGCTGGGGTAGTCAGTAGAGCGCAGGATTTCTGACCCATAATGTCAAGTTAAATATATAGGCTATATTAACTATTTAGAATGTTGGCTAACATATTTATTAGGTATTTGATAATGATCCTAGTGGTTAAGATCCAGCCTTAAGCTTTACTTTCGAAAATAAAAATAAAGGTATCCTTGGCGAGGAGAACTGTAAGTTATCTGTAAGGGAGACTAAAAGTCACACAATAATGTTATTGATTGACTGTATTTCACTGTAAAAAAAAATGAAAACATCCAAGAAAACATGTGGGTTACAGTGCTCGCCTAGTAATCAATAGGTCCCGGTTCGATCCTTAGAAAAGTGTGTAGCTTTTTGAAGGTACAAAACTGGACGGGCTGTCTTTGATCATTGTGCTTTTGAAACAGCTGGTCTTGGTCAGTAACAAAGCTACACAGATAATCTCACTCTATTATTCTACACTCATCCTTCACTCATATTATTTGGGTTAAAATACATACCTAGGTGGCGTCCCCATCTCATTTCATAATAATAATAATAATAATAATAATAATAATAATAATAATATTAGAATTTGTTATTGTGTTTGACTAAATATTTGACAGAGTTGTATTCCAATTCCTAGGATAAAAACGCAATAAAAAAAACCAATACAAGTGAGACTGTTTGTCAAATTTTACCTTACAATGTAAGCATAGTGCCTAATGTGTTTTAAGTTTGCACATGAATAAATAACAGTAAGGTTTGGATTAGCTGTAGTGTGTGTATACAGCAAAGTGGAAAATCCTTAGATCACTACAACTGTTCAGGAGTTGACATTTAGTCAATACCGTTCGAGTTAAACTATTATTCCACATAGAGACTAAAATGTCAACCCTTGTTTATTTATTTGACATCAAGAAATCAACGTCTGGAACTTATAAAAGTTGTTGTTTCTGACATGTTTGAATTGTTTAAGTTACCTGTTAAAAACGTTTTTATTGTTGATCTCAAACATTTGATTTTAATAATTTGTAAATAATACACAAATAACGCGTGTGAAGTGTAGCCTCTTATTAACTTTAAATGTTAATTCAATAACTTAAACAGTTTTCTCATATGCATGAAACCTTTTATCAATAGTCCAAATTCGTTAGCCTTTTTTGGTGTGACGTTGTGAAGTAAAGCAGTTGAGACTCTGAAAGTCAGATTTGCAAGTCCCCAGAGAACAAAACAGCTGTTTTGTAGCCGAGACTTTGTGATGACGTCATTGCGCGGACAGGACAGGGGAGGTTGACTGCATTATTTAACCCTAGGCCCAAACACACTAGCCTTCAACGGCTGCTCATACTAAACATCACTTTGGCTCCACCTTTTACAAGTCTATCAAGCGAGTTTTCGATCGACAATTTTATTGGAGCTGTTTTAGCAAATTACCAATATTATGGAATAAGCTATTGTAGATCTCATGGCAAGACCTGAACCCAGGATCGATTTACGTTTTCGTTTTGATTTTCCAGAGTCTAAAAACTACCATTCGTTGATTAATTCAAATTTAAAATCGTATTTGTGTGTGCGTTAGCACGATAACTCAAGAAATAATCACCTGATTTTGATGACATTTAGCACAAACGTGTACACTTACGAAACAAGTTGGTGAACCAGCAGGTGAACATATGTTTTTATATTTTTAACCTTAAAACGTAACGACTTTATGATAGGATTAAAGCTTCCAAACGGTTACATACAATGCATAATATGCTCCATGTTAATGTTCACTGAGGTAGGTAAGGGGTTTACAGCGTCTACCTCTACTCTATTATACAATGTACTGTCTAAGTTTGAAAACGTGAATATTTTGTAAATGTAAACTAAGCGTGAAGAGTAAGCTCTGATACTTTATTTATTGGAAATCAAGCATACCAAAGTGAATTTGCTGTCTTGTTTGTTTTTCCTTTTCTACACAAAAATTTACGCCGCTGTTATTTTTACTGTCCTTGTTTTTAAAGTCTTGTGTGTTAAATATTTTTGTTTCATCATTGTTATTTCATTGTAATATTTATTTAATTGTTATCTAGTTGTTGTAAGAATGTTATCTACTTGGTTTTGCTATAGGCTATCATATGTTTGTGAAAGTATATTTTTCATTCTTGTTCTGATGTCATTTCATGTCAGGATTTCAGCAATTGCCATCGTCAAGCAAGATGAATCAGTTTTAGTTATGATTGTACTATATAGCAGCAAGAGTGTGTTGTCTGTTTTTAATCTTCAAATAAACATACTATCATGTAATTTGTTACTTATACATTTTGTGGAACCTCGTTTTACACCCTAAATTACCTAAATGACAATACGTTTGGAAACGGACTTTGCTGGCACCTGTAAATTCAATTTTCAATAACGAGTAAAACATTTATTTCAGACTATTGGTGACATAACTAAACTAAGTTTTTTTTTAAGAAAGAGATTATTTAGATAAATGACAACTGTATTGTAATTAATAACAGGTTAAGTGTTTACAAATCCTATATCCTATAATCTAAAACAAGCAAAAAACGTACGGGCAAACGTTTTTTCCTATCCGAGGATTTTGGATTTTTTTCTTTAATATGGGGTATTGGGCCACGATAAATCAATTGAAGTTGGTCACAAGGTTGGAAAAATCCAGTTTCCGCCCTACGGCTCTTGAAAGTGCCTATGTTATCGTCAATACCTTTTTGTAGCAGAAGAAAACAAAAACAGCTGATACAGATTATTTTACTGTCATTTTGATTTACGTGTAAACAAAATAACTGTATTAATTAGTTTGGACCACGATAAAAAATTAAGAATGAAACGCGGAAGATCTCCGAAGCGAATATACATAATCCGAAAGGGAGAGAAGCTACAATCAATCGTCAGGAAATAATTTCACCTCTTCGTCTACAACCGAGCCAGTTCCAACCAACTCATACAAACGTCTCAAAACCTCGGTCAAGTCACGCATTGAAGAATAAAAGTATATAAATAATTTAAGATATTATGGTAGTGTAAAATAATGAACCGATAATGAAGGTGGGTCATCTTAAGCAGGAGTGACAACGAATCGCTGCTCGACGTTTGGAAGAACGTCAGCGCACTGCAATTCCTCCAACCTCTTAAGTCGCCATGCCAGCGGATTTTGGATGTTCACGATTGGAACAGTTAACGTGGAATGAATGCACACGACGTGTGTTCGAACTGATCCACGGTCAGAGGGTAGTTCTTCAAAATCCAAACTGATCCATAAATCTGACAGGTAGACAATTGGGTCGCTTGAAACATCCAGTTTTATCCGCTTTGCGTGGGGGATGGCCTCTACTCCCCGTAGCCCACAGGTACATACTAGGTACACAGGAAATACTAGGTAGCCGCTATTGCGTATGTTATCCTAAATTATAAATTAGTTGTAAGTAAACATTGTAACTTTTAGCATAATTTTATTCAGGTTTCAATAATTTTTTTTTTCTTTTTACCGGTTCAAAAAATATCAATCATAGCTCTAAGTTTTTTTTTCATATCGACAATCTTTTTATAAATAATATTTCTTCTGTAATTTGTTATTTATTTTTCATAATTTGATTCTTAAACAGTTTAAATAGCATAATTATTAGTTTAAATGTATTGAAATTATGATAAATCATTGCACGACCTGTTAATTAGAATCTGTTCTGAATCACCCCTTAATGAAGACCAAAAATGTCCACTAATTTACGTCGGTGTGATGACAGAGCGATGTTTATCAATAATCGCTGATCTAAGGATTTTAAACCCGTTTCATCTCACAACCTGGGTTACATTTTTATTTGTTGTTACTAAATATGCAATTATACCATAACGTATAATTGATTAGTTATGGTAAAATATGTCAATTAAGGCTGCTTAGAAGTAAACATCATTAAGAAGATGTGTACATAGCAACGTTGAAGATTCGGCCGGCACATGCTACCCCCACAACCCCAGTCTACAGGGTCGTCTGTCATTGTCAGTCTATTGTACCTCAGAGGCCACAATGGGCGGTCGATGAATCGATCTACCAGATTTTACTTTGAGGAACTTCCAAGGGACACCAGGTGAAGTCTTCTAAACATTTTGCGAATAGAAAAATGCCTTTGGTGTTTAAAAAAAAAAAAAAAAACTATATACAATGAGTTGTAGTAAGGAATTCTAACCTGTTAAGGGAATACAAGAGATATTGCTAATAATCTAGCGATGAGTAGTTCATCAGTTAGGTTAATGATACATAATTACAACTTAAGAGGGTTCTACTTGACAGCCTGAATTTCAATCCAAGATGGCGGATTATATGGATTGAAATATAGTTCGGAATTGAGCATGCCTCTATTGTACAAGCTCTCGACATTGTAAAACTAGTTCGTTTCCAATGATCGTGTGCTCTTAACTTGCAATGAATGGAGAAATATTAAATGTAACTATTATTTAGAAGTTAAAATCACATGTGAAAAAGACTAACTTACGGATTTTCAAAACGATTTTGTAAATACTTAAAGCAACCATTACGAAGTATCAGTTCATACAGTGCATTAGTTTGGATTTTTGTGAATATTTTAACGTTTATTTAAACTTATTTCACTTTAATAAAGACACGAGGTTCTTTTTTGAAGGACCACGTATACGTGGTAACCAGCCGGCGGGTGGAACCCACCTAGTAGTGGTCCTATTCGTATTGCAACAATACTTAAGAAAGCATTGTGCTGAAATACGAATAGGAAACAAAATACAAACATTAAAAATTAACTGTACACTTTGAGATTGTCATAATAAGGAACTCCATCCTTTGAGCCAAAACAAGTCATTACCCTTGCAGTATTACTCGATACAATATAAGCTACTGGGTACTTTTATTTTGGAAATAACTTTTTAGTGTATTATCTAGGTTCTATAGAGACAAATATATAATCTACCACCTTTTAAAAGTATTAAAAA